TCCCCGGGGCCATGGGCGATTCCAAAGTCTTCTCCATGACCCAACTGTCAGCTCTTGGCTGAATTTCCACCTAAAAAACGATTCCCATTTGAGCCTGCAGTCGATTGCCTCCTGGGACGATTCGAAGACCTTCTGGTGGGGTCACAGCTTGCCATTTGAGTAGCTTCGTGCTGCGCCGCCAAGTATGATGCCTGAGAGCTGCGAAGTTGGATGATCTTGGTCAAGGGGTCATAGTCGCCATCTTCCAACCAGCAGGAAATACACGGGAAGACATTGAGAATATAAAGGCCCTGAAGGTCCTGTGCCACCGGTGTTGTATTTTCACCAGCGAAAGGAAAACGATCCCATTCACTGTCTTCGGGATCAAAAGGTTCGAAGTCTGTCGCAAACTTCTGTCGCGATCGCTGGATTGGAAGCCAAGCTTCGGCCGCGCTCTGAACTATTTTTTTTTTTAATTTTAGTACAAAACAGATCTTGCTGCGACTCGGAAAAGAGGCCACCCGCATCAGAGAGCATTCTCTGGACTACAGCTCGAATCTCGGCTTTCAGAGCGTTGTGTTCAGCATCCGGATCGATAGAGAGAAGCACGCGACGGCAAACCGCTTCCTTCTCGCCATTACTACCTGCAAGATGTTCGAGAGTTTCACGAAGATTGTTGCTCTCCGACAGAAAATAGGTAGGCTGGAAAATCCGTTGATTAATCTCCCTGAACAGAACAGCCAGGATCAATGCAAATCGTATTGCTTTGGCGGCCGAGGAATTTGAGGAAATCAGAGGAAAATTTAGTGGCAGAATGATGTTGTCTACCTTCCTAAGTTTCTCCCATATGGTCTTCTCCTTTTTATTCTATCAGTGATGCGCGCGAGATAAGGCTTCCGAGAACTGACCTTGAGAATGTTTTCCGGAACATCATGTTCTATGAATGGAGATAACTCGTTTGTAGCAGAGGTCCAAAGGCTTGTGAACTCCGTCGTTCTATGAAAGGTGCGGGAAAGGTCAGGTCACAAATGCTTGAAATCCTATGACACAACTTACACAAAATCATCATCAATGTCCGAGGATTGGACTGTGAAGTCGTCCATTCTTTGGATACGGGCCCTGACTGCCTGCAGCTCTGTGCTCATCGATACATTAGCAGCTTCTAGCTCTCCGTTCTTTTTCTGTTCCGATGATAACACTGATTAATTATATATAAGAAACAAGTTTGATAAGTTTACATAAAATATTAATTATAAATATACTCTACTTTCTCTACCAGGATCTCATCAGAAGAAGTGAAACTTGAAAGAGCAGAAAGATCGGTCGAGGGGCCTGTGAATGTGTGCTGGCGACTTATTCCCATATCCTAAAGCTCGTATCATGTCGATTACGTGTCTCCACCTGAAGTATTTGAACCAAGGGAGCAGAACTGGTAATATATTCCAACTCCCGTATACTTCAGCAGCCCCGACGTCCCACAGTCCAGCCTAAACCCTCCCCGTCCCAGGGATTTGTGAGTGTACCTGAGTAGGCAAGCCAATCACAGCTAGATACTACTCTCAGACCACTCCAGCTGTCCTAGTGGGGAGAGGAAGAGTCTATGAGGAGGATCCGCCAACTTGTATAACAACATCACGCAGCCTGCCATAAAGTATTCAAGTTAAGCAATTTCTGATGGTTGGTCATTATACAGTCAAATTGAAATTTTGACGTTCTCGATATATGATATCAGAACCATAGAATAGTCACCTGATAGGTTTTGGATATCAGGTGTCAAGCTGCTCAAAACTACGCCCACTTAAGACACTCCTCAAATTCGCTCACACACCACTGAGCTCTCAGCTATCGATCGAGCGTAGTGCAATACTTTCTGTGTCCTTCAAGCCTTTTCAAGCGCAAGGATCGCCTTGGCTGTGTCGGTGAATGTATCCTCCATGGGCCTTCCCCGAGCCAAGTCAGGAAACGCCTGTATCGCTGCTTCGATATCAAATTTTGGGAATGTAGGTACGATTCCACTGTTTCTTCCAATCCTTCCTTCTAACTCTGGCATCTTGCGGAGATAATCGGCTATCTCGTCGAAGGATATCGCATGTCCAACAACGAAACGTTTATTGGCGGCAGCAGGAGTTATGAGTGCTGCAATATGGAGCTCGGCAAGGTCACGAACATCAATCTACCAAACAGAAGTCAACCCCCTAATCTTGCGAAACACTCTAGGTTTCCCAATGCTCACAAATCCTGGGAATGCTGTTGCAGGTACTGTTCCAGAGCCGGTCTGGGCGCTATTCATGATAGAGTAAATTTGCATGGTGCTGAAATTTAACTTGGTGATAGTCTCGACTTTCTGGAGCGGTGGTCCGAATATCAGAGGTGGCATGAAGTTTGTGACACTAAATAGAGGTCTCTCGTCTTTGACAAACTTCCAAACCGCCTCCTCAGCAACCTTTTTGCCGACACAATAAGAGATCTGCGTTTTTCGCGTCATATTAGAACCAGAGTATGCGGATAACGGTGTAATGGAGCACGAACGTAGCTATTCTGAGCGTTAATAGCATCTGTTCTATCCAAGGGTAGCCACTGATCATTGTCTAGAACGCGGCTTCCCACGTCCTCGGCATTACCAAGCGTAATAGCGTTGATACTACCCGTTATGGCGATCGCTTTAACCTTCGAGTAAGATTTTGCAGACTTTAGCAATCCGATATTCCCAATGATAGATGGTTTTTCGAAGTGCGTGACAAAGTCAGTGTTTTGAGGGTCATCAAGTACGGGCGCTGCCACATGAATCACGAAGTCAATTTCACTGTGTTTCCTAAAGATAAAGTCGAAGACTCCTGGCTTTGTAAAATCGGATACCACTTCGAAAGTTACGCTTTTTTTCCATTCTGGATGTGTTGATAAGATTCGATCTGCCGAAGATGTAGAGCGCACAATTGCAATAACCGCATGTCCGTGCTGGATCAAGTGGGCCAAGACCGTGGCACCAACAAAACCAGAGGATCCTGTCAAAAGCGTCAGAGGCATAGGAAAGTCGCGCCAAAATGTAATAATTCGTATGAGCGGCAAATGTAATTGTTTAGATGAGATGGATTTATGTAGAGATCGTAGCTACTCTTGGATAAGGGGCATTCTTTCGCGGGATTTCGCAGTTGAGATGACGACAACATGATGTCTACACTCAATTGCCAGCGTAATGTTGTCAGGTGATTCTATATTCTTGGTTATGAGGAAAAATACCACGTTGCTTCCGCGACGGTTGTAGACTGATCTAGCTGGAATGTGAAAGTCATTATGTCTAGATGAACCTTATATTTCTTCTCTTTCCACGTCATAGGTTCAGATTTCGAAATTCCCTGCTAGTCTACCCTAGACTTATTATCCACAAAGGAAATAATGAATCTTTATCCTCGTGGTTCAGTAAAATAGCTATTATCTTGATATTCAACGGATGATTAATGACGTCATTAACCATAGCGTCTGTCTTCATGTCAAACGTGGTTGTCATTGAAGTGTCTAGAACCCGTCCTCGGAAGTTCCGGAAGTGCTATGAGTCCAACTTGATTAATATATAATTACCCATTTGTATTTACAAACCAATTAAGGATTGCACCTAGCAACAGCGAAAAAAATGTCGACAAGTCGAGAGGAAAGAACCATGATTCTGGTTCACGTATCCGTGGAGCCACGTGATATACCGAAATTTTTGGCGGCTTTTCGTACATGCTTTGAAGAATGCAAGAAAGAACCCGAACTTGAACGATTTGAGGTTTTCGATATTCCAGCTCAAAAAGGGGAATTCTGCTGGATTGAGACATGGAGAGGAGACCAGGACTGGTTTTGTAATGTGCGTGAGTTTTGGCACAGAAGATCTCACTCACACCCCTTCTTTGCGAACAATGTATATATCAGCTTGAACTGAAGATACAAAAGGCTAAACATCTTGTCAAGGTACAAATGAATCGACCGTATTACGAGCCCTACCTTGCAGAAACCCAGCCGTTGTGGACTAAACCTCGTGAGTACAACGCACTCCTCGAGAGGGTTATACTGTACAGATAAGAGCGTAACCAGAGAATTGTGTGAATAGGCACTATCAAGTTCCTTCAACATATTCCAGGTTTTCCATCTTTTCAAAAGCAAAATTAAGACTGGTTTCCTCGGACAGGGGCTGTGGAATTATCCTTCCGACGATGTTAAATTGACGAAAAACTAACTCGGGAATCGGAAGATGATTTTCCGAGACCGCTTGACGGGAGTGTCAACTGATGTCGGGCAGGTTGTGGGAAAGAGAATAGATTGTTACGGTCTTCTACTTTGCTCTTGTAGCCTACCATATTCGAATAGGTCTCGGATAGTAAGCCGATGTGCGAGTGGCGTTTTCTTCAGCATCAATTGCTGCGTCGCACTCATTGTGCATCTTTGTGGCTGATGACTTTTCTCTTTCCTCTAGAGAAGTGGTCGTCCTTGTATAATCAAAAGGTTATACTAAACCTCAGTTTCTAGCTGCGATCATAAGTGCATTACGCGACGTGGAGGAAGGCACATTTGAAGGATTATGTCAATTTGCCTGAACCACGTATCTGATACCTAACCACAATGACGAAGATAATGACAATAGCCCCAGAGGCCTGAGGTTTCGACAGCTAGGCAGCAGGAGAGCTACAACTGTTTTCTGTCAAATACAGTATGTACGCTACAGTACGCTGCTGTCATGGGGGAAAAAAGGTCTCTTTTTAAGAAAACGGGGACGGGCGACTAAGCCAAATATACATTAGTGTTTTTCAAGATAGGGTTCGAGAAACAATTCGTGAGGGTACGAAGGGGAATCTGTTTTCGACTCCGACTGTATCAACGCCCAGGGTGGAGTTTATGGCAATGCACTTCAGGCAGCATCCCTTGGAGGCCATAAAAAGGCGGTGCAGACGCTGCTGGATCGAGGCGCCGACGTCAACGCTCAAGGTGGAGACTGCGGCAATGCGCTCCAGGCCGCATCATGGAAAGGCCACGTAGAGGTGGTGAAGATGCTGTTGAACAAAGGTGCCGACGTCGACACTCAAGGCGGATTCTTGGGAAACGCAACCAAGGCTGCATCCTTTGGGGGCCATGAAAAAGTGGTCCAGATGCTCCAGGACCAGGGCGCCGACATCAACGCCCAGGATGAAGTTTATGGTAATGCACTCCAGGTCGCATCACTCGAAGGCCATGAAAAGCTGGTGCAGATGCTGCTGGATCGATAAGCTGATCTGAACGCCCAGTGCGGACAGCTCGGGAATGCACTCCAGGCTGCATCGTGCAGAGGCGAGGAAAAGGTAGTGCAAACGCTGTTGGATCGAGGTGCCGACGTGAACGCGCAAGGTGGGCGATATGGCAATGCACTCCAGGCTGCATCATACGAAGGCCATGAAGGACTGGTGCAAATGCTGTTGGATCGAGGAGCCGACATCAACGCCCAGGGCGGACACTACGGTAATGCACTCCAGGCCGCTTCATATGAAGGTCATAAAAGGTGGTACAGATGCTGCTCGATCAAGGCGCCGACGCCAACGCCCAAAGTAGATTCTATGGCAATGCACTTCAGGCCGCAGCAGGTGGAGGTCGAGAAAGGGTGGTGCAGATGCTGCGCGACCGTGGGGTCGGCGTCCATGCCGATCGTCAGTTGTGACCAGGAAAAGAGGTCAGGGGCAGTCTAACTGTAGAAGGTTAGCGTGTTTCCAAAGAGGGTTCCAGAAAGAATCTATAAGAGTAAATCGGTGAAACTGATTTCGAGCGGCCCTATACCAGCGTGTTGGGAAATGTCTTTAGAGCGGGCTTACCTTTTTTTATGGCAGTATGACCGCCGAACGAAATTACAGTTCATTCCGAACCCATGCAAAGGGATAAATGCAGCATACCATGCCAGCGTAGGCTGTTCTCAAATCATAGTACATAAAATATCTAGACTAAAGGAATAATTTCGTTGCAAGTCGCTTCTTTGCGTCGTTTCACCCAAAGGCCGATGTCACGAACAAACCGCCGGGCAGCACCTACTTTCACGCCATGCTTGACAAAGAAACCTGGGTCTTGATCCTCATAAATCTGCATAAGGTCCAAACAATTTCGGAGTGTCACATCGCGTGCTTTGTTGATGTTCTCCCTGAAGGTCTCGTTGCTGACCCGCGATTGCTGCTATTCAGTGTATTCCTCAACGGCGATATCTAGGAGGCCGTCAACTATGATTAATTCAGTGCAGCCGGGCCCGGTAGGCACAGCATCATTAGTAGGAGGATGTATCAACTGCTAAGATGATCCTGCCGGGAGGACAGTAATATTGATTAGAGGGCACATTGAACCTATTGTAGCGTTCTCCGTAGGTTTCTTTTTTTTGTCTAGTCGCTAGTTCTCCTCGGCATAGAGCTGCTCGCGAATACTGTTAGGGATATAAGCGTGGGTCTCGAGAACTCCACCTTGCTCTATATATTTGATGAGGGCCTTTAAATAGTGTGTTTGCAATCTACGGTGCCTTTTCCCCTCTAGATCTTGCCAGCAATATTGTCCTTCGTGGCGATATAGGGGCCCGGGACATCGCATAACACGATATATATCACGCTATACGGAATGTTAGCCGGAGACCTGTTCTACATTAATCTAAGCGTCTCGGTCAGCGAGCATTCGTGTAGTTACCGATGACTTTCCTCTCTTGTCTGTTCTAGAGGGAAGAGGCCTACTATCCTCTATATAGTTAATCGATATCTAAAGCCGGATCTTCTTGCCACGACGGAATAAATAGGCCCACGCTAGTAGCTGTTTCTCTACCACTATCCAATTAATACTAGTACCTTCAAAGTGTTTATCTATATCCTATTAGGAGTTCACCGATAACACCATATCAGTATCATCTAGTCTCACCCGTCGGCCACGGGCTGTCTTCCGTCGTAGAATATTTACAAGCGTCCTCTTTTATCTGTTCCTAGTAGCATCTAGGCGGTTAAGTCAGGTCCTGTTTTATATCCTTGACCACAACTCGATTATTCAATTTAACCCTCTACTCGATCTGGTAGTAGATACGGTCCGGAGATTGTTCATCCTATACACTTCCATCTACACGTTCAACCACGGAATCAAAACCCTACTGGTTTAACGGATATTAATACAAGGAGGGTGAACATTAACCAACTATGTCCTCGGGATCGGGTAAAGGGCAGATTACTAATAGCGTCTATTCGCGGTCCGGGTAACCAGGGGTAGGGGCATACGAGGGGGTCTGTTCCTATTAATTAGGCAGTTTAGGTCGGTAAGCATCATCATCATCATCATCGTTAAAAGGAGTGTAAGTCATCCCCCCGAGGCAGAAGATGCCATTAAGGAGTCTATCAATATGGTTGTGTGTTAGCTTCAACCAAGTGTTTTACAGGGCGTCAAGAAGAGAGGACAGTGGCTGACAGGCTGAGTATTATGATAAGCAGTTTTATGAGTAGTCTACAGGTACAGTTTGCAAGTAATGTAAGCCACTATTTTGCAAGGTCTAGTGCCGAGTAAGACCCCCAGCCCGTCACTTGGACATAGGAGTGGCAGAGAGAAGAGTCAGGTTGCTAGGTTCTCGAGGCAACCCCCAGATCTAGTATTTGACAAGTTTGCATTTCCATGGAAAATTCTAGTTCCCTTGGGTCGCCAATACAGTTACGAGACAAGGCACTGTATTTAATAAAAGTAAATGATAGTATGGGACTGGTACAGGAATATTGATATTCCGGGGCTAATCCCAATACGTTCTAGTATCTCTTGGCGGTGGGCCTAGTGAATCACTCGGAGAGTGGATGCGGTTACACCGGTTTCGCAACCTACTGTAACTGATGTTGAAAACTACTGTAACTTGACTAAAATTTCTTTTCAAAGAAACATTAATTTCCGAAAGCCAATCTACACATATGCAATCAATTTCAATAATGCAAACGGACTGTATGGACTGATTGTCTCATCTAAATTATGCAGATTTCACTAGAAAACCAAACCAGTATTTCCTTTCTGACTCCCTTTCGTTATACCGATATCAATTTCTTGAATCAGGTCAATTCAAGTATAAAGGCTCTATACTTGGAGCCACGAAAGCTTGCTAGAAATTTGAGTCATACTACCTATAGGTTAGGAAATTGCCCCCGAGATAGTGACTCTATTATTAACTAAGATCAGAACTTCGTCAGGACCAACCGCGCCGATGAAAGATTGTCTACCCATCAATTCCACAGCATTATTAAAAGAAAGTAAGGCTGTTGACACTTTGAAGGGAGGCACCTGCTCTTTTATAGTGCCGTTAAAAGAAAACAGAAGGTCGCGAGTGCCGAATATCGCCTTGACTTCACGGTTTTGGTGCCGTAGCTTTCCTTTCTCGGAATTCATTCTTGTACTGTATAAGGAAGCCAGTTAGTTTTAGGAAAGAGAAAAATGCTATAAAGAATAGAATATCTAACCTTGTTCTTTTGTACCGTGATTGATAGTTTAACGATTTTGCGGAAAGAAACATTTAGCTAGTAAGTGTATCTATAAAGTAAATTCCCGTTAATATTATAATAAAAATTTTTTTTATTTCATCTGCGAGCGAATAAAAGGCAGAATCAGAATGAATTGATCATAAAGGTTAAAACTATAGTGACTATATAGACTTAGGCCTTTTTCTTAGCTACTGCCGCTATTCTCCTAAGTAAACAATATCCGAATTAATCGTAATACTCGATTTAGCTCTACTTTCTAAGTCACCACAATTCTGATCTACTATAATTCTAATTCACCATAATTCTAGTTCACCATAATTCTAGTTCACCATAATTCTAATTCAGCATAATTCCAATTCACTATAATTCTAATTTACCATGATTCCAATTTACTATGATTCTAATTCACTATAATTCTAATTCACTATGATTCTAATTCACTATGATTCTAGTTCAGCATAATTCCAATTCAGCATAATTCCAATTCAGCATAATTCTAATTTACCATGATTCTAATTCACTATGATTCTAATTCACCATAATTCTAATTCACTATAATTCTTAGTTAACTATGTTTCTCAATTGCCTATGATTCTTAGTTGCCTGTGCTTCCTAGTGACTACAGTGACTATAAACGCCAAAATAGTAGGATATATCATATTATATACTAGTACATAGTTCACTAATGAAAGGGGAGAAGAAAAAGGATGGTTGAAGGTGGAGCAGGGCAAAACGAACAATTAGGGTGATTAATTCGGCATAAGATATTTCGAGGACCTAAGTGGCTAGTCCAGAATAAAGTAATAGAGTAGAATCAAGTATTATTACCGACTTACTAGTACGGCGTGATTTTGTAGTTATCACGCTAATACAAAAGCTATACCGTACCGTACTACTCACGAAACCCTTAGGCAAAAATTGGTCTCGATATTGTGGCGGTACAGGTATATAATAAAAATGTATATGAAAATATCCGGTAATATATTTTGAAGTATAGAGAAATGCCCTACGATTTTTAATTTAGCTACTCCGATAAGAGCTTGAAAGCTAGTATAATAGATCTTGATATACTAATTCGAATTCTAGCATAATTGCTATCGCACTCTATAAAACTGGTCTACTGATAAAGAAGTGTCGGAGTAAGCTGAGATAGTAATAGCTAGTAATCCTAATAGGCGAATGAGATCGAGGATAGGACCAAGCGGAACTAATATTTTAATTATATAGGTTTAAACCCAAGCATAGCGAACCTGAAAAATAAATTGAGTTTACAAAACAAAACTAAAAACATATATACAGCATAGCAAATCAAGATATTCCGAAAACCACTAGCTACTTTAGAACCTACAGAGCTCTCTCCCTATCAACAACTCAGGGAGAAAATAAGTATCGGGGTCTCTAACGTGCTAAGGGCTACCTAGCTAGCGGTAGACAAAACGGGGGAAGAATCTAGAAAAGGTTCCGTTAACGGTTCGGTGAGGAAGGAAGGAATACTAGCAAAGTGAACAATCGATCTAGCGCCGGAGTTCGATTAGGTAGATACGAGTGTACTACAAGCGTAAGGATTTAGATCGATCCCTAAATGCCTATATCGACCCTAGAAAGACTACTAACCAGTCTACTATAGTCTCCTGGCCTACGCTACTCTACTGTTTCTAGTCGGCGCGACTCCCTAGGACGACTATAGTTCGGCCTAAGCGGATTCACAAGACGCTACTATATAAGGAGCCTATCTAATAGATTCTTCGCTCGATACGTTGCCCCTAGGGGGGTAAGACCGTATCTATATACGCCTCGCACGGCCGCCCGTGCCTCCCGGGGGTATAAGGCCTCGACTACTATCGTCGGGTCCGTGCTCGGCTCGGGGTCGTATAGTGTAGGACTACACGACTACCGCGACGGGAGACCTATACCTCTAGGGGGTACGCTATCCTAACCCTAACCCTACCGCCTCTACGCTTAAACTCGCTACTAATTTATCGGTTTAGCGGATAATATCTACTACCTACTCTATAATATATTTACTAATCCGGTGCTTGCCCTTAATATTCGTTAAATAGCGGACTATCTCTCTAGGCTTTACGCTACGCT